TAAAATGAGGTTGCTTTTTAGTTTATTTGGAGAGATTATATAGATAACAATGATATGTAAAAATCATAGTCGAGTACAAGTTGTATATGTCTCCGTCTAAAATAATAACTTCATCAAAAATAGTCAAATTACATAGTTTTTACAGCAATGAATCTCACATAGACATTAGCTGAGAATATATACATGAACGATGGTGATTCTGTCGTCCTGGGAGTTCAATCTTGATTATTTGAATAAAGATAATACGAAGCCCAAAACATATGATTACTCGTTTAATCCTCTACTTTCTTTGTCATTGCAACCCGTATTGCTATTTTTAGTGAAACAAAACACAGTGTATATATGCCCATTAATTACAGTCAGCGGATGAATGTATAAAAACATTCGAATTTCTCCGTTTTGAAAAATCTTTTGCATCGGTCAGATTTTTATGAGGACATTGACATGCGCAGCAATGAAACTAAAAATAATAATTTCAATTTCAAACCAACGTCAGTTTTGAAAATATCCAGTCAAAGGACATGTTTTTGGATTTCCTGTGAATAAGTCACGAAAAGTACAAAAATCGGCGACAGGCCACACCAGGCCTATTCTTCGATGCCGACATAACTACGTTATATTAATAGGTTGCGAGAACATCTGTTTTGTGAACTCAAAGGCGTGACTTGCAGGACATACTTCAGCTTCGTTCTATTTATTCGAACAACGCAGTTAGTATTTAATACTTCAGAATTAATTGAAAAATCTGTTTCGTGAACTCAAAGGCGTGACTTACAGCCTTACAGGACAGACTTCAGCATCGTTCTATTTATTCGAACAACGAAGTTCGTGTTTAATACTTCAGAATTAATTTTAAAAATATCAAGCATTTAAATGACCAAAGATAAATTTATTTATGGTTCCCAGTCTCACATCTGACACAAGGATTGAAGAAATTGTTAGCTACATATTTTGCCAAATACAAGCTAAGCTCTATTGTGCCAATACTAAAATAAACTTAAAAAGGAATCATCACTACTAGAAGGAAGGCGTTAAATAACATTAGATACAAAAATTATAAATTATATATAGAAATAATTAAATATAATTAATATTACGAATGTACAATGAAAGTTTTCAATTGAGATTTGTTTTCAAACACATAAACGATTCAACAGAACTAAGTCAGGCAAATATTTTTTGCCTAATGATACGAGTACTTGTCGCATTTCTCCAACAATCATTTATCTACCAGTGATGTCTTGAAAATACTTTTTGACAACAGACGCTCATCACACCTTCATCCTCCTATTAGAATTTTTTAGCAATCGAAAGTCAAGTGTCTCACTCAATGGTGATAGGGTGGTCCAGTGGTTAAAGTTCAGAGTATACCAGAATTGGCGCAGAGAGGCGCGGGTTCGATCCCAGCTCTGTGCGCCAGTTTCTGGTCAGAATCGGCAAGGAGGCCGGGCGGTTAAAGCGCAACAGAATTGGAGCAGTGAGTTGTGAGTTCGAGACCGCAACAAGTTGTGAATGTTCTGCGATGTTAAGAATCGGTGACAGGCCTACGGCCAAATAAACGCTGAAACAGCTATTATATTATTATTATAAAGGTGCCCGGTCTGAAGAGCCGCTTATCAACAGTTGTGTGCGTCAGTAAATAGGAACAACTATGACAATTTCAAACATTAATGTAAAAATATTTCCTGATAGCGTAATTGCATTAGAAGATACATCAATAAAATACGGACAAAAAATTTACAACATTACAGTAGAAAATATAACGAAGAAAATGTGTCCCAGGATACATATTTACAATCTGAATGAAATATTTGGGAGCCTATTCTCCAAAACAATGCAGCACCTAATTTTAATGACTCGTACCAGCAATACGGCTCAGTGACCTAACATGGTCTTAGCCTCTTAGTAAAAACATTATAGTCATTTGCTTGTAATAACACTTTTGACATCGGCTGACATAATTGTTCACGACTCAAGATGAGTCGCGAATGTTGCAAGTTTTAGCAGACGAAGAGACGAGCCCTAATGGCCATGCTATTGACGTTATAATCATTAGTGATTATTGTCTAATATCAATACGAAGAGCTTTAAATAAGCTCAATGCCACACAGAGAAACATTTTTCCTTAACACAACAAGCATTAACCTAGGAACTGAAAGGTACCATTTGATTGTAAAATATAGATATTGCAATGCCTTAACCAACTATACAACAATATCAGCCTCTATGCAGAAAACAAGCGATATGTCTATGCGATTCTAACGTTCATTCTGTATTTAAAATCTATACCACATGCCAATCAACTACCATACACGTCTTAGTAATTTAGTATAACTTTTAAATATAATCAATTTGAAGCGTAATTTACTTTTACAAACGAATTTTTATGAAGTAATGAGTAGCTGTCATATTACAATTTAGAATGATGTTCATTGTTACTTTATTGATGGAATCCATTGAGCCTCATGAGAAGTGCTAAATCTTGAATTACTACGCAGGATCTACCCGACCTCAGTTCGCATTCCGGTGTTCACAAGTTAAACTCTTCTGCTTGATCTGACTCCATACTAATTAGTCAGTCGTCAATGATACAAAACTGATTTACACTGATTAAATCTTCAAGATCCCCAAAAGTTGACCATCGAATTAATTATCGATCGAAAATCGTAATTTAATTACGAAGCTAGTTCGTAAGCATACTTAAAGTCAGAATTCATTTCAAAGGCCATTCAGAGATTTCTCAGCTGTTCTTCATCTCGAACGACAACGAAGATATCATCGACATACCTGCAGTACAATTCGGGCTTGATCAGTTTTTAGCGCATTTTCTCATTTATGGAAAAAATGCACTATTGTGCTCGCTATGTCCGTCTGTCTGTCTGTCCGTCCGTCCGTGACCTCAAATTTTCGTCGACGAGAAAATGCGCTCTCTGTCACACTGCTGTGAGTACTGAGTTATATTTTTTCTGAAAGTACTCGATTTTCAATTTCGCACATATAGTATTCAGCAAAAGTAGGACCCATGGCTACGCCGTTGGTTTGTCGGTAAATTTTATTGTCCAGAGTCCGGAAAGATGATTCGGAAGTGCAAAGTCGAAGGAGATCGAGGAGAATTTTCTTTGGTATTGGTGGAGCCGGTAAAGTTGGATGAGAATATTCGAGCTAGGAATATTACATAAAGGAAAATTATATATATGAATATATATAATTTTTGGTGTTTTAATTATTGATTATCTGCATATTTTTGTGATTTGCAATTATTTCTAACAATTTGATTTTTGAGAAGTATTCTATTTACATGATTTTATACTTATGTCGATCCAAATTCCATCACTCAATGCGTCATGTAACTTGATAATGAATGATTGATGCATTCGAAATGTTGTTAAAGAAATAAAAATGTCCATCGCTCTAATTTTCGCTTTACAGTGCAAACGAAAAATGTTGTTCGATCTATTAAAAAAAATTAATAAGAAAATTGCCAATAAAACGAATTCTCTGGTCTTCAATGAAACCTGTTTAGATTTCATTTTTTTGCATTTTTAGAGTTTGTAGAGTCTAATTTATGTTAGATATTCTGGTGGTCCAAACTTTATTTGTGAGCTCTAAAATTGTGAGTGCAACGCGTTTTCGTAGCCAGTTTACAGCCCGTAGCTCATCTTTCAAATCGAAATAGATTTTCACGATGGTAAAATTTAACACTGAAAGCCACGATAAGTAATTCGATGGTCAACTTTTATGGAGCTTGAAGATTTAAGTGATATAAAGGAAATGATTAGTGTAAATCAGTTTCGAATCCTTAACGATTTACTTATTATTAAATTGAGATCTTTTGGAGTCAGATCTCAGATAGTCAGATAGTTTAAATTTTTGCGAACACCGGAATTACGAATGAGATCGGGAGGATTCTGCAGAGTAATTCAAGATTTAACAAGTAGCGTGAGGTTCAATCAAGCGGCCATGCACTGCTGAAGAACTTCATAGGGAGATGAAATAGACAAGACTATTAATCATTTACATCATCGCACCTGTAAATAGCCTCGGAGTTCGGTATGGATTACAGTATCCACTTCGCTTCTCTAAACTTTTAAAGAGGTACAAAAATTTAAGCTGTTCTGGGAATATATCCTCACCGCTTGATGCTATTTTTTTACTGTATTCAGAAAGAAGTGTTCATCCATTGCACCTGAAATATCAAGCTTCTATAAAGACAATCTAATAAGAGAATATATAGCATTATAAGTGGTCCTCATTTCAATTTGACACTGAACTGTTCGGATCCTGACAACGGGTTCGATTTTCTGGGGAATGCGGGTGTAGTTTCCATAAAATGATCAGTATTTGTTTAACTTCTCTTGATTGCTGACAGCATAAGTTCATCAAGAATTTAAAACATCAAGAATTTAAAAATGCATCAAGAAAAGTGCCAAAAACTTCACCATTTCTTATGAGAGTAAATTTTCGGAGTACAGTTCCATTGTCAGTTCAAAAATCAAAATCACAAGCACAAACAATTAGTACAGTAAAATTAATATCAAAGAAATTAAAACATAAATTGTAAAATGAAAACAAATAAGAATGAGGTAAACATGAGCAGAAAAACCTATCTATATACAATTCCGATGGAATATGCATGAACTGTAGGTGGCATTTAGACTAGGCATTTGTTTAAAAATATTCAGGGACTCTAAAATTCGCAGGTCAGAAAAACCGGTTGTGGAGGCTAGAACTCTAAAATCATTATCGGACACCGGGACATTGCACTGCTCGGCATGAACGCGTACTGCTGAATGAGGGGGATGCGCAAGCAGGTTACCTGTTCTAAAACTCCTTCCTTTATGCTCCACCAGCCTAGTGTAAAAATTGCTATATGTCAAACCTACAATACATACGCAGATGCGCACTGCGCTTAACTATATTGATAAACTAGGGACGCTCGCATAAGAACAGGGAGTGTATCTTATCACCTGAAAAAGAACTGATTTTAAAATTTTTCACCCGCAATATGTGAAAATTTTTTTTTCTTTTCGTTCCAAGTTAAATAGGAACGTTAATAAACCACTGTTTTCCGTTAATAAACCACTGTTTTCCCATTTGCATTATTTTCCATTCTATGCACTCTGCATTTGAATTTTAAGTAGTACCTTTTCACCAAGTTGGTTTCCGTTGCCATTGGTATATACTTAAATTAAAGTATTTTTGTCTGAGCAATATTTGAAGTTGTTTCCGAATGTGACAAAAGAATGCTGGTTATTGTTAATTTATTTACTTTGGTCCCGCTTCGGTGACTATGGCTAAGGACTTGAAAATTTCGTTCTCTAAATACTTCTCGAATGTAATTCTTCAGATATTGCTGGCGTATTATTTTAAAATCAGTTATTTTTAAAAGTATAAAGGTACACTCACTCCATGTTCCTATGCGATCGTCTCTAATTTATAAATATAGTTGTGCGCAGTGCGCATCTGCGTATGTAGGTTCGACATCAAGAAATTTTCATACTAGGCTGGCTTTGCACAATGGAAGGAGTTTTAAATCAGGAAACTTGTTTGCGCATCCCCCTCATTCAGCAGTACGCATTCATGCCGAGCAGTGCAATTAACGTCTCGATGTTTGATAGTTATTTTAGAGTTTTAGCCGCAATGACCGGTTTTTCTGACCTGCGGCTCGCTGTATATTTTTCAACAAAAGCCTAGTATAAATAATGCAACCTACAGTAAATATCCCCTCGAAATTTAAAATATATAGGCTTGTCTGCTCACGTTTACTTCTTTTTTATTTGTTTTCATTTGACTATTCAGGTTTCAATATCTGCAATGTGAATTTTAGTTTGCTAATTGTTTGTACTGGTGTTCTAGGTTTTTGAACTGACGATGAAGCTGGACTAAGAAGCGTTTTCTCTCATAGGAAAGGTGAACTTTTAGGTAATTTTCTTTGCATCTAAATTTTTGTTTAACTTGTTTAACTAAAGGTTGTTAAAACTGTGTTTAACTAAAGGTTGTTAATTATGAATGAATGGATTTACCCCGAAAAACAATTTTCACAAATATTTTGTACACAATAATTCTAGAAGATCCCCTAGGTTTCTAAAAAAATAAGTAAATATTTGAATATGTAGTCTTTGTTTCTACGCCCACTGACATTCCCGAAATAAGGAGCCGACGTGACCAGTAATCCCCACGGCAGGAACGTTAGGGGCTGGCCCGCCTCGTCGCGATGTGGTGGCATGGTCGCAGGACTACCGCCAGGGGGCGGAGGGTACCAAGCCTATCATACGGTCATTATCATCATCATTTTGGCAACGATTCCAAGCAGTCCTGTTTCTTTCAATGGATCTGTCCGTAACATGAGCAGAGGTGAACAATCAGATCATTAAGTGCAGCAGTTCACCAAGATGCCGGCGACAAGCCTAACTTGGCCGACTCTCGAGCGCCGATACATATACTACCTGTAATTAGAAGAGCAAACACAGTTAAGGCAACTTAGCGCTGATCTTCAAAGTCATCATCGAGCTAGCTATTATCATCGACCGAGCGCTGTTGCCTAAGCCTTGCAAGCTATGAAGGCCTAAGGTTGTAGTTACTTTGAACCAACGAATGACGAGTCGATCTGTGAGTCAATCTGTAGTCTTCATTCTTCAGTAAAATTTTAAAATTTGCCAGCTAAATATAAAATATTAGGAAAATAAATACTCCTAAAGCACTTAATTTCCATAAATCAATTGCAAAATATTCACTCAACTACGCAGATCATATTAAAAACTACCTGCTGGTTGTTTGCGAAAAAAAGCCCCGGATGCCGCTAAGGGATCGAGGCGCTGTCTAGCCGGAGCGCCATGCCAGGACGGGGAGTAGAAGCAGCGACAGGACGAAGGAGCTGAGCGGGCCGGCGCTGCTGCACATGGTGCTCCCTGGCAGGTAACCGCGACAACGGGTCTGCCATATCACACAAAATAAGTTTATCAGCACATGCGTACAGTCATAGAAATAAGGGAGACTTATTCTCAATAGTGATGCACTTTTTCGCCTGTGTATGGGTCTTTCTTGCAAAGTTAGGCTCGTCAAAAAGGCGCAAACGATACGTGCAGAAAAAGTCACTTTTGGGATAATATGGCCCCTCCATATTTCTAAGCGTAGCTACGTTTACGTCCATATTTCTAAGAGTAGTGTAAACACGTTTACACAATTTTAACTATCCGTTTATGCAAAAAAGTACACACATACTGGTATGAAGAAATATTTTTACATTAAGACGTTTGTACAAAGAACTCAAGCGCTAACAAAAACTCCGAACAAGTGTATTGACTTTAATTCATAACTCGAACTATCAATAAAATAAACGTAAATTAAACGTAGATGAAATGTCATTTGCCTGTTGGCAGCCTCACCAGGATGATGGTGCCGGCCGTGCGGTAGCTGTACTCCTCGACGAACTGTCCCGCGCTGGCGCCGCAGCGGCCCTCCGCCGCCACGCCCACACACGCGAGGTATGTGTGGAACGCGCTGTGTCAGACCAATGTTGGTTAGGATAAATACAGTGTGTGCTTGCAACAGTTCACACACAGTCAGCAACAGCTTACACACAGCCAGCAACAGCTCACCACACAGCCAGCGACAGCTCACCACGCAGCCAACAACAGCTCACCACGCAGCCAACAACAGCTCGCCACACAGCCAGCAACAGCTCACCACACAGCCAACAACAGCTCACCACACAGCCAGCAACAGCTCACCAGACAGCCAGCAACAGCTCACCACGCAGCCAACAACAGCTCCCCACACAGCCAGCAACAGCCCACCACACAGCCAACCACAGCTCACCACACAGCCAACAATAGCTCACCACACAGCCAGCAACAGCCCACCACACAGCCAACCACAGCTCACCACACAGCCAGCAACAGCTCCCCACACAGCCAGCAACAGCCCACCACACAGCCAACCACAGCTCACCACACAGCCAGCAACAGCTCCCCACACAGCCAGCAACAGCCCACCACACAGCCAACCACAGCTCACCACACAGCCAGCAACAGCTCGCCACACAGCCAGCAACAGCTCCCCACACAGCCAGCAACAGCTCACCACGCAGCCAACCACAGCTCACCACACAGCCAACAATAGCTCACCACACAGCCAGCAACAGCTCACCACACAGCCAGCAACAGCTCACCAGACAGCCAGCAACAGCTCACCACAGATGCAGTTCATCACACATTGTCATTTCTGGGCCCGACGCACTAACTCGACAAACTTTTCCTGACTGCCTTAAAGACTTTGGCCCCTCCCCCTCTCTTGTCGTCTCGCCTTCCCTTTTCTCCTCCCTTCTTATCGTTTTGCCCCCACCCTTCTTGTCGTGTTAACCCCTCCTCTCTTGCCGTCTTGCCCTCTCCCACTCTCTTGTCGTCATGCCCCCCCCTCTCCTCTTGTTGTCTTTGCTCCCCTCTCCTGCCTCCAGTTTCTCACCCTCTTTCGCTCCCCTCATGTCCCTCAACCCAACCTTTGCATTCTTTAAGCTGCGCGACGCTGCAGTTACGCATCCTTCATATATTGTCACCGACTTGCTTTTTCAAATTTAACTTCAGTTAAGCTTCTTCACTGTGGGGACAGTCAGACGGGACAGTTTACTTTTTGCGCAAGTCAGTTTCTTCAGTGTAGGATCACTCATACGTGACAGCTCACTTCTTACACAGGTTAGTTTCTTCAGTGTAGAGACAGTCAGACGAGGCAGTTCAATTCTAGCACAAGGCAGCTTTTTCAGTGTTGGGGCAGTCTGACGAGACAGTTTACTTCTTGCACAAGTCAGTTTCTTTAGTGTAGAGACAGTCATACGTGACAGTTCACAGTCAATTCTAGCACATAAGGCAGCTTTTTCAGTGTTGGGGCAGTCAGACGAGACAGTTTACTTTTTGCGCAAGTCAGTTAATTCAGTGTTGGGACAGTCAGACGAGACAGTTCACTTCTTGCACAAGTCAGTTCATTCAGTGTTGGAACAGTCAGACGAGACAGTTCACTTCTTGCACAAGTCAGTTCATTCAGTCTTGGAACAGTCAGGCAGGAACTGAATCCGATGCTCTGTTCTCTCCTCAGCCGCGCCCTTCGGAGGACCTATCGGCTAGATGCAGCGGTGCCCACCCTCCCCACGTCGCGGTGCCCATCTACCCCACCGGAGCAACAACAATCTAAATTATCCGCAAAGTTAGGCAGCAGCAGCCAGCACTCGCTGCTCTTATCACTGGGGAGTGGCAGCCCACTCAGGCGTACCAAGATCTCCACCAGGGCATTAATGACTACTTATAATAGCATGGTACTGCCACGCGTCATTCATGATATTGAGGTGTTTATTATTCTGTACATGTCCGCTTATTTCGATGCATGTAGCGAGTCACGATGACAAATGTCGAGAAATTTCTAACAAGGAACCAAATAAAGTGTCTGGATTTAGTGATTGAAAAATTCAAGCGATACAATTACGTGTTCATTATTACTCATCAATTCGACGATTAGAATGAATTGCACATATTAGTGTTTAATTTGTACATTGAGATCACCGTACATCAATTGAAAATATTTCTGAATTTTGCTTACCTTGAACCCAATCGATTTCATGAATTTCGGGAAATATTGAGATAATTTTCTTCATTTTTATCGGTATCTTCTATGAAATTATTAAATATATTGTTAGTGCAGCGTTAATTACGTTTACGCCATGTCTCGAAGCCTGTGACGGTCACTGTTTCTGACTACAGTACGAAAAATGAAGAGGATTTAAGCGTCATCTGCGTCCACCGCTGTTTCTATAAATCTTCGTCGGGTGATCGGTTTTAAGGATACTGTATTTTCCCTTAATTTTATATTACCCCTTTTATTAATATTTTATTTAAATAGCCTTTCACGAAGTCGGCACTTCGTTAAGGTGAAACTTTTACGTGTACCTACGACGTGTCAACACTCGTTGCATCTAGTATTTATATACTCCAAAATTATTTATAATGATAAATGCAAAAATTCTGTCGTTCAACATTTTTATCCAGCTTTCTGAAATTAAATTTTTTATTCTCGATGGAACAGAGATCGATAAACTGAGAGTTCAGCGAAAGAGGAAAGCAGAACCTGGGATGAATATGTTAGAAGTATTTAAAGAATGTACCGTGGCTCTTCTAGCATAAAATCAACTAAAGTTTAGGAAGAGTTACGTTAATAAAATATAAATTATGCTGCGAAGGCGAACTTTCGTGCAAGCACGAGAACGTGATCTCAAAATAAGACAGAAGAAAGCTACGCGAGTCACCCGCAGTCAGAAGCCCATCTCGAGAATCTCGGATAGCTGAGTCAGCATTGCAAAGCCCAGCGAATATGAAGTAAAGAATTTAATTCGAAAAAAATCTGAAAAATCTGTAAAATTTTGTGCAATATTTCGGAAACCGTTCTATCGTGTTGAAACTTTCTCCTTTTCTTCTGTATTACACGTGAATAACCTAAGGTATTCAGCGTGGCGAGCATATTGTGGCGCTTGACACTTCATGTTGAGAAAACAATAACTTTTTCTATGATTTCTTTTCTGAATGAACTAAAAGTTTACGGTAAGTTTGTTGCCTTTAGATGAAATGAAGAAAAATCGGTGATAGCGAACTCCCTTCCCGCCCCCGAGGACAAATTGCGGACGGCCCGGCCGTTGTAGCGTCGCGCTCCTGATAATAGACTGCCAATAAGCCGGCGGCGCACCGACGCAGCTGCGACTGCCGCAGTTTGCCTTGCAGCTCTAAACCTGAGACACGGCGACAGCTGCACACCCGACTCATCTCTATTTAGCAGCCGCACCTCTATTTTTGTCCAAAAAGCTTAAATGACAAAATCTCATGGACTTTGAAGTTTATTTATGGGGGTATTATCGTCAATTTTGAATTAGTCTTCTGCTGCAATCTCCTTTGCTACTCATCAAGAAAATGAATCAAAGAAAATTTTAGTTAGTTCTACATAAGTAAAGTTGACCGTTAGAAAATGTATTTTTTTAACAGGGGCGATATTATTCAAGCAAATTTTTTACAACACGCATAACGGCTTGGAATGCCTTTAATTTGTGCATCAATCTCAATCGTTAAATACACGAATGCACTTTATTCTATAATTTTCAAAACTTATCAATGAATTCATAGATCAAAGATATATTTCGCTCAATTTAAACTTGGAATCAATCAAGACCTGCTTAAGCTATTAACGAAATAGCTTTTCATTTCCGACCACTTTAAATATTTGTTTAAAATATTGTCGGAAGCAAACAACGGAAGTAAACGGATTGCTCGGTCACTGAACGGTCGGCGAGTCACATCGGGCGGGCGGGGAACATCAAAGGAAAGATGACAACGCGCGGGACCTCGTCTCTCAAAACTCGTCGCGCTTTATTTACACGGCCGCCCCAAGCGCTTCCTCCTGTATGGCGTCGGCCACGGGGAAGCAATTGCTTCAATGAGCAGCAGCGCTTCCCTATAGGACACGCCGGGTAGAGGAGCAGACTTCACTAAGCCATTATGAAGTAATTATGACTAAACATCACGAGAAACAAGGGCTCTACTGAGCACGCCATGTAGAGGAGCAGGCATCACTAAGCCACTATGAAGTAATTATGACTAAACATCACGAGAAGGAAGAGCTCTACCGAGAACGCCGGGTAGAGGAGCAGGCTTCACTATACCACTATGAAGTAATTATGACTAAACATCACGAGAAGGAAGAGCTCTACCGCGCACGCCGGGTAGAAGAGCAGGTTTTCACTATACCACCATGAAGTAATTACGACTAAACGTCACGAGATGGAAGAGTTCTACCGAGAACGCCGGGTAGAGGAGCAGGCTTCACTAAGTCATTATGAAGTAATTAGGCCTAAACATCGCAAGAAGGAAGGGCTTCGTGGCCCCTGTTGCGCGGGTAGCTGAGATGTAAATGCTTGAGATACTCTCATCACCCTGCATCACAGCAAGTGTATGGTGAGGCAGTGAAGGGATAGCCAGGCGAGGAGTGAGGCAGTGAAGGGAACACCAGGCGAGGTGTGAGGCAGTGAAGGGAACACCAGGCGAGGTGTGAGGCAGTGAAGGGAACACCAGGCGAGGTGTGAGGCAGTGAAGGGAACACCAGGTGAGGTGTGAGGCAGTGAAGGGGACACGAGGCGAGGAGTGAGGCAGTGAAGGGGACATCAGGCGAGGTGTGAGGCTGAGGCTGGCCAGGATGCGAGGCAGCTAATTGCTTCGCTTCCCAAGTAATTTAGCCACTCGAGACCATAATGGTCTGCCTCCACCACCGGTCTCATTAATATCACCACCCTCTTCTTGTATGATCCACGGCATCTTTATTCTTATGAATTCTTAAAACATGAACGTCATTTGTGAGGTATAAGCCAACTTTAGTTGTCCGTCTACGATTGGGAATTGATCATTTCCACATCAGGTAATGAGTACCTAATGGATTTACCTGAGGGTCTAAATGCCCTGCTCCCTATATCGCACCGCTGACGGTCGAATGGCTTGTCGCAATGCCGTGCAACGGTCCTAGTGAATACGACGATTGAGTTGACCAGCACTGCTGGCCATGGTGTCATGGGAGGACAGATGATGTGTGCCACTTACCAGCACTGCTGGCCATGGTATCATGGGAGGACAGATTGTGTGTGCCACTTACCAGCACTACTGGCCATGGTGTCCTGGGAGGACAGATGGTGTGTGCCACTTACCAGCACTGCTAGCGGATGGTGTCCTGGGAGGACAGATGGTGTGTGCAGCTTACCAGCACTGCTGGCGGATGGTGTCCTGGGAGGACAGATGGTCCCGCACATCTACGGAAGAGATGAGGTCCTGGTAGTGGCTGCCGCAGAGCTGCGCGTCGGTGCTTACGTTGCGCATGCAAGGCGCGTGTTGCAGGTACTCTGCCCACGCACCATCGTCCATCATTGTAATTATAATATTAATCAGCTTAAGTAGTAAGTTCACCAAGAAATTATAAGCAAAAACATTAAACGATTTTATATATGCAGATGGGGACTGTACTAAGCGTCATTTTGCACATTTGCCTGTGAAGTCTTCAGCCGACATTGAGCACCTAGTAGCTTACCGACACACTCAATCAATACTTCATAAAGAACGAAGAAATTCAAGAGAGGAGCTTATATTCTACAGCACACTGGAAAATAATCATTAAGAACACCACAGAAACATAGAGATCAAGTTTCACTTATATCCATGTTTTGTAGAAGTCCTGTAGAGCGGTAACAAGATCGTAGCATAATACATTAATTGAAATATGAACTCATGACGCAGCCCCGCGATCCTTAAATTTAGCACTTTTCTGGCACTGACTTGTCTCTGAGAGGCCCCTTGTGGCAGAGTAGCCCTGGTACTGACTGTCTCTGAGAGGTCCCTTGTGGCAGAGCAACCCTGGCACTGACTTGTCTCTGAGAGGCCCCTTGTGGCAGAGTAACCCTGGTACTGACTGTCTCTGAGAGGTCCCTTGTGGCAGAGCAACCCTTGCACTGACTGTCTCTGAGAGGCCCTTTGTGGTAGAGCAACCCTGGCACTGACTTTGGCAGAGCAACCCTGGCACTAACTGTCTCTGAGAGGTCCCTTGTGGCAGAGCAACCCTGGCACTGACTGTCTCTGAGAGGTCCCTTGTGGCAGATCAGGTGCACGGTCTTCTCGGTGCCCATGAGGAGATGCTTGATGCGCTGGCGGTGCTTGGGTTCAAAGCAGAGCGACACGTGATCGTTCACGCACCGCAGGCCTGACCGCATTGTCCTCAGGGGGGCAGGCGGGAAATATTTTACAGCTATTGTTGTCAATCATTTATAAGATCAAGCGGAGTGAGTTTAGTGTGAGATGAATAGAGAATGTAATGTCTATGTAATTCATTACTGAAGATTTAAGTGAGAGATTTGATTGGGTAATTTTTTTCGGGCGTTTACTTATTGCAATCGACTTTGTCATTCATCGTTCACTACCTGTCTATTCATCAGATATTTGGCTAGTCGTTATTTACGTCCTGGTTTTCATCACATATTAGACTGGTCATTCATCATTCATGGCTTGTTTATTCATAACATATTAGTCTGGTCATTCATCATTTACGGCTTGATCATTCGTCACATATTGTTTCATCTGTTTCAATGAACGGTGCACGCCAGATTGTCTCATTGAGGGCATAAATAAAAGAGAACTTAAAATTATATTTTTGACCTATAAGCGAATAAATTTATTATCTGATGAAAAGATACTGAAAACAACAATTACTTGACTGGTCAGGAAATACGAACTCAAGATGTTGCAAGACATTGCTATAGAACTTATAGCGGAGTTAATTAACAGAGACAGCAGAATAGAAATTAATTTAAATAATACAGAGCTACATTTTTATGATTTTTGTACGGCAACATAACTGAAAAATTTTCGAAATTGGATGTCTAGTAAATACCGTTCAATTAAGTTATAAGAAAACCGCAAGATTTATTGCGCTCACAAAATATAATGAGGTTTCGAGGGTTAGGTTACAGATAGAGATCCTTATAATAGTCTACGGAGTTAGCTCCTAACATTTAAGTATCTCGATTCAAAGTGAGAAGCCCAACTCGTGTTGCCAATTATGAAGCATAAATGAACAAAGTGCACCTGGAACCGGCATTCAAAAATTTTTTTTTGAAATGATATATGATCCCAATTCCGTTCCTGCATGTCTTCCCCAGATTTAATATGAAACGTTTTCATTACTTTGAGATAACTCGTTCCTAAATATGCAGTTATACGAGTGAACAAACAATTTTGTTTGAAATTGTAATACTCATGCTCATCACACATGTAGAAAAATCTTGTGAAGAAATAAACAGGTATGTAGTTTCATATACGACTGATAATTTGTAATATGATTGAAGTAAATAAATCTCTCAATAATAATGCTAAGAAAGACCGTGAGGTACCTGCACATTTCATTGAGTTGTGCCTCATCGGCAGCGAACGCGAGGTTGTGATCAGTGCTGAGTGTCTGCAGTAGTGACAAGCATTGCTGCAAGTGCTTCTTGGCGCATGTTTCTCCATCGCTGCCACCTTCTCCATCGCTGCCACCTCCTCCACCGCTGCCACCGTCGCTTGCAACGTCGCTTCCATCACCGTCTAACGCTACCGCTGAGAGGCCCCCGCTAGACTGCTGTTGTTGCTGGACCTGTTGTTGCACTTGCACGGAGGCCTGAACCAAGTCTGAGGGGAGGGAAATGTCATGACTGAAGTAAATTGACGAATTAAATAAAATGACGAATTAAATTTTTTGTTAACTGGAATAATTTATAAGAAAAAAAAAACAATGAATCTTCCCGTTCGGGGCTAAGGTGATGTCGGTTGTGTTGCTGCATTGCTTGAAATAACCTGCAGGAACATGTGTTTATGGAGTCAACGGGTGCCCAAAAATTGGGAAAAAGTTTTTGAGATGAAAAATGCAAAACAATTGGTTTTGACAAAACTGTTTTGCCAGATAAATTATTTAATTGACGTCTCGATTCTTAGTGAACATGAATTCACAGAGCATGAAATTGGGATAGCTTGCATCTGATGAAAGATGGAGTCGGAATCAGAAGAAAAATACAAATTCAATTGTCCGCATGTAGAAAACAAAATTAATGCATTTCTTTAGCTCTGTACTGGTGCGTGGACGTGTAGAACGAATGAATTCCTTAATTTTTTCTCAAACCATATCCAATTACCATGACCATTCTTAAAAAAATTGCAGACCACGTATGCCCAAATCAATACATGCTGATCGAGCCTCGTTTTAACATCGATCACGCGGAAGCTTTCACTTGACAGACCAGGCATCGATGACGCGCAGCAATAAGAAGCTGTCTGCCCTTCTGTCAGTAAATATGACAGCTCATTTATTTGGTGCGTCAAGCCTTTAGCAAGAAAAGACGGATGGATGGAAGGATGTCCGCGTTTCTTGTCCGACGTTTAGTCATTTTTTAGGGAGCCAGACGCAGCTGCGGCCCATCTCAGCCGCGAGCGCCTCAAGCACTCTGCCGCGGAGCAGCAAAAACTAACAGCGAACCCTGGTTGAGCCCACTGAGCAGAGGAGTGTCAGAGGTTGAGCCCACTGAGCAGAGGAGTGTCAGAGGATGAGCCCACTGAGTAGAGGAGTGTCAGAGGTTGACCACTGAGCAGAGGTGTTCGAGCGCCAATGGACGCCACAGGTTGCGTGTCAATAAAGCAGGTAAGCGTAGCCATTTGTTTAGCGAGTTGCGGGCGTGCCGCTGGCACAGCTTCGGCTCTTAACTCAATCCAACTGGCAGCAATCCTCCACCAAACGCTCTGCCCAACTGAGGGCCATTCCAGTAATCTGCTTACCGCAAACCACAATGAAGACTAACGTCTCAAAACCGCCTCGGTCCGGCCAACGCCCCGAGCTATAATCAGACTGCCGGGGTCACTCAGCCACAAATTTTTCCGGCATTACTTCGATCAAATAATGGGATGATTTTACATAGAGGCTGGCTGAACAATGAGCAAACAAGATTTGTGCTGTATAATGATGCATCTGACGATATTTGAGCAAATTTAATAGCGAATGACAAACGGTACTCAATAAAAAGTTATGCTGAATAATTCACACTCATCTAAATTGTATAAATAAAATATGTGACCACAGAAGGAAGAAATCACATATCTCTACAAGAAAAAGTGTACTGACTTCCAGCGAGATTGCAAATCCTTGATTATATTGGTTTGCATCAAATTAATCTTATCATGGGTATATTGCAGAGAAGTTTCTATGAATGGCTAAATGCATAAAAAAATGCCACAACTAAAATGCATAAGAAAAATATGAGACCACAAAAGGAAGAAAGTCACATCTCTCTACAAGAAATAGTGCAGTATATTCCAACGGGATTGCAAATCCTTGACTTTATTGGTTTGCATAAAGTTAATCCTATCATGGGTATAGTGCGGCGAAGTTTCTGTGAATGGCTGACATTTGGTTTTGGTTGGTGTTGAAATTCTAAAGCCTATAACTCACGATTTCGGGAGCCTGACTGGCGATGAAGCTTGAATGTAGTCGTAAGTAATGGAAGTATAGAAAGCTTTATAAGGTTTAGGAAATCTCAAGCTGGAGGTCCGCCAAATCAATATGATTATCGGGCTTTAGAAAAATACCCGTTTGAAGATAATCCGAGTTCAGGGAAGTTAAACTCCACTGAGCTATTGCCAGTCACGGAGCAGCTTTAGGAAGTTGCCAGTTATTGTGTTTGGTGCTGCCTTCAACTGAAGAAAATTTGCGGGAGTTGTCTTAGCAAAATGTCTGAAATTTCAGTCAATTTGATCGAGAAGTGTGTTCAATTTACAAAGTGGGAATTGCCGCGGGAACTGGGGAGTGGCAAGAGACTGGTTTTTGTTGCCAATCGACCTACAGTTGATGTAGAAATTTGAAACCGGAACAGATGCCCAATGCCTTCTATTCATAGGAGCGATTGAGGGTGCGATAGGCATTACGGAGTCATTTCCTTCGTAAAAATGCCGGTAGAATTGAATAATTAAATTTAAATAATTGCTAGTAAAAAATACAAACGTTACTCCAAGTGAATAATCGGGTAGCAAACGGCAATATGTTTCTGATAGTCATGTTTCTCCAACTTCAATTCAGTCTACAGATTCGCCATTTCAAAAATGCTACATCAGGCCGACTAAATCAGGCCATGACGAGAGCCGCAGCCTGAGAGGCGACCAGCTTTGTGGCGGCTGATGACATGGCTTTAGAAGACGCGTCCTATGCTCACTCAATTGCAGATAACGCAACAGCGCAACAACTTCATGCGTATGAGCTCTGAAGGAACTTTAGTGCTCGTAAGAATTGAATGAGACGTGATGATGGCCCCTGCATACGAAGATTTGGTGCAGTCAACGTCATGGCTTAATTAACAACAGACATGCTCAGAAACTGCAAAATATTGTAATGTACGAGCTGTAAAAGATCTGAAATGAATACCTTGAGCGATAAAATCTTGAGCATTTGATTTAATGATTCAAATTGATGCGCCAAACAGCACTGGTGAATCTTGACGCACAACGTACAACATTCAAGTGCAGTGTAGACTTTAAAGTCTCTCTACTATACCTAGCGTTAGCTTGTCAAAGAAATAGTAAATTAAAAATTCTACCATAACTTATTCTTTAACGGCAACTATCAAAGTTGCAGAAACATTGAGTTTATCCATAAGTATTTGGCATTTAAACAGTACACTCTCCCAACATTTATTGTGCAAACGGGGAATGATATCCATTCCATTGCTGGTAGTCTGGTCTTCATATTTTAACTGCTAAACATGCAGAAATTTATCGAGGTGGTAGTTGTGAGTCCCAAATTGTGCAATTTGAAGAATTTGGTGTTAAGAATTAACAAAGTATTCACAAAGATGTCATGCGCGAGACCAAAAAAGTTCATGGAATGAAGTCGTGAGAAGAACATGTCGTGCTAGAATCCAAACAAGTTCTTTTACGAAGCGAGACAGTTTTTTTAGCATCGGAAGAGGTTTGATTATGCGAAGCACCGAATAACGCCGGCGATCACTGCTCCTAGAATATGATTTTTAACTCTTTGTAATTTATTCAAGATGAATGCCGCTAAAAATGTTCGGAATTTGCACTTCAGAGAGAACGGACGATGAGATTTGGTGACACTCGCTGCAAGGTAATGGGCTAAAGTGAGGGTTCAGTTTGTGCAAGGTAATGAAGGTAGAGTGAGGGTTCAGTTTGTGCAAGGTAATGAAGGTAGAGTGAGGGTTCAGTTTGTGCAAGGTAATGAAGGTAGAGTGAGGGTTCATTTTGTGCAAGGTAATGAAGGTAGAGTGAGGGTTCATTTTGTGCAAGGTAATGAAGGTAGAGTGAGGGTTCAGTTTGTGCAAGGTAATGAAGGTAGAGTGAGGGTTCAGTTTGTGCAAGGTAATGAAGGTAGAATGAGGGTTCATTTTGTGCAAGGTAATGAAGGTGAAGTGAGGGCTCAGTTTGTGCAAGATGAAGATGGTAGAATATGGGTTTTATTGGGAGATGAGCTTAATAACGGAACTTCTAATGACGAATGGGTTTGAAAGATAGATAAGGAGAAGAAAGGAAAAATTCTTGTTCGCTAGAAGAAGGAATAACAAGGAGATAAAATCTTTATAAATGGAAATTTACTTAAATTTAGTTTCAGAACCCCATGCTATTAAAAAATTGATACCGTTCAAATGACGATGATAAATAAATAATAAATAAAAATAAAATGATAGATAATGCGTTTCTAATATTGAGTGAACATACAGGAGAAAAACCAAGAAGCTTCAATGAATATGAGAAGAACACAATGCATGAAAAGAAGGCTTGAGAGAGAAGCTGGTGCAGGAGCAATATTTTGCTGCTCCTCAAACTTCTTCAATGGTCAATCAACAAGCCAAAGTTTAGAAGAACGAGCTTTTCTATTCAGGAAAAAATTGCAGGCTGGGTGCAGCTTAGGGTAAAATTTAAGTGCGTTTGCAGTCTGGGGTAAGAAAGAGGAGTGCGCAGTAGCTGGAAATGCGACGGTAAAAAAGGGAATTGTTTAAGGTCACTTCTAAAATTACAATGCTATAAATTTTGCGAAAACTTTTTATATTCTTCGCTCCAGAAATTTATTCAAAGTTGAAGCGTTTAAATTCATTATAACTATTAAATAATCGTTTGGAAGTTATTATTTGTAAACAACCATACTAAATAGACGATACCGAAATAAAATGAATAGCTACAGGTGCATCATTTCTTAATCACGTATTTTTATGGAAATAGAATAATTCAACAGGCAGAATAATAATCATTTAACGCCATTTGGATGCTGGGAATCCTTAATGTTAATTCGACAAAATTATGACCTAGACATTTACTTCTTCCATTAATTTAGTCGTCACTGCAACACGAATGCTTGCAATCCACCTGCTCAGATATTCTACGCATCAATTATTTTTGAAAAAAATTTTAATTAGGAGGGAAGAAACATAAATTAGGTTCGTGAACGATTTCAAATTCAACATATAAGTTACTGCTCGCATGGACTTCGCTGGTGATGGATTTTCTTACTTAAATTGGAAACAGGCTAGCAAAAATCCCTTTAAAATAATTCCAAGTCAAAAATGAACCAAGAATTTTCTCATTTCCAATATGTTTCGAAGCATAACATCCACGGTTTGTTTAGTTTTGCTATCAGT